TTATCCACCTGGCCATGCTGGGCACCAGATGTTGTAAGAAGCATAGAACTACGTAACTTACTAAGATTCTAACAAATGTTGTAAGAAGCATACGAACTACGTAGCTTACTAAAATTCTAACAAATGTTGTAAGAAGCATACGAACTACGTAGCTTACTAAAATTCTAACAAATGTTGTAAGAAGCATACGAACTACGTAACTTACTAAAATTCTAACAAATGTTGTAAGAAGCATACGAACTACGTAGCTTACTAAAATTCTAACAAATGTTGTAAGAAGCATACGAACTACGTAACTTACTAAAATTCTAACAGATGTGATAAGAAGCATACGAACTACGTAACCTACTAAGATTCTAACAGATGTTGTAAGATAATCATGAATTATTACTTGCAAGTTAGATACATTGTTATTTATTGTTACGATAACTGACTTAAGAGACTCTAAGGATATGTTAGATAATCCATTCAGGTCATTGTGATTTATTTCCCGGACTGAATATTAATTTCCATAGGTCGAATTTCTTTCACATAACACGTTTTTTTAGATGATGCGAATTTATTTCAGTATTACAACATTGAATCTAACAACAGTCACGAAACTAGTTTACTGTAGCAAATGTGTAATAACATTGCAATAAGATTACAAAGCTTGACACATACTGCTAGCCGAACGTGGGTTTTTGCTTAATTAAGAAGAGTTTATTAGTAGCGTTTCAACTGCACTGTATTTGTTTTAGGCCGTTGCAGAAGAGATGAAATGTTGTAACGCTAATATATACAGTTTTATTATTCTGAATAACCGATATTGGGCAATTTAGAAGTAAAGTGTTTAAAGCTATTGTGAAAAACGACATTGTGATTTTATATATTCTTTCAAACAGTTTTACAATGAACATTTTTATATAGATAGAAACTCCTGTTTATTTTTCATTATATAGAGTGGAAATTGGACTGTTTCTATATCCAAATCCACTTTTTCCGAAGTACCCGTTGCCATCTCTGTAATCTCTGAACCCAAGGATGTAAAAGTTCAACCAATTCGAACACGAGCTTGGATAAGTAACATTAAATTAACTTACCCACAGTCACCAAAAATATTTGCAGAAGTGAAGAAAGACTACAATGTTATAACTGGTGTTACAGTATTTGGTACTGTTGAGAGTCCATCTGGTTCACTTAAACGAATACAGTTACTGGACGATGGAGCAGGTCAGTGGTTTTAGATATGGTAGAAAATTTATAGATGTAAACAAACTACAGTTAAAATACAATGCTCAAAATGAACGACAACATACATTAAGAATTGGTACCCTACACTAGTGCCTCTTAGTGGTGAGAAATCAAAAAGTAGACGACATTTTTTAGGTGATGATTTAAATCGTTACAGTTAAGTAATTTTATCCAATTAAAATCATAGTAAGATAGACAGATTTTTCTATAACTTTAGAATACAAATTATATTTTAATATGTTTTTAGGGTGTTGTGAAACGTTTTTTTTTTTGTTTTGTTTTTTGCAGTATGTGTTTCTTCATTCAGGTCAAACACGTAATATAAAATATCCAATCAAAATTGTTTCCAAACTATAGTGAAGATGCTCATAAAATAAATCACTGATGTGGTGGTACTTTAAGTTTTTAGGTGTGTACAGGAACCTGTAATGACTGATGTTGTTGTAATTTAAGTTTTTAGGTGTGTACAGGAACCTGTAATGACTGATGTTGTTGTAATTTAAGTTTTTAGGTGTGTACAGGAACCTGTAATGACTGATGTGGTGGTAATTTAAGTTTTTAGATGTGTACAGGAACCTGTAATGACTGATGTGGTGGTAATTTAAGTTTTTAGGTGTGTACAGGAACCTGTAATGACTGATGTTGTTGTAATTTAAGTTTTTAGGTGTGTACAGGAACCTGTAATGACTGATGTTGTTGTAATTTAAGTTTTTAGATGTGTACAGGAACCTGTAATGACTGATGTTGTAATTTAAGTTTTTAGGTGTGTACAGGAACCTGTAATGACTGATGTGGTGGTAATTTAAGTTTTTAGGTGTGTACAGGAACCTGTAATGACTGATGTTGTTGTAATTTAAGTTTTTAGGTGTGTACAGGAACCTGTAATGACTGATGTGGTGGTAATTTAAGTTTTAAGCGTGAAGAAGAACCTGTAGCTTTGAACAGGTTTCTCGTCTAGTTCTTAAATAATTTAGTATTTTTTATAATAAAATTTTATTTTACAGATTTAACTCTTCTCTATATAAACGCAGCAGTTTGACAACAAATAAACGGAAAAGTTTCAGCGCTAAACTTTTAGTTTAGCATCTGTGTGGTGTTTGTGTAATCCAGGCTGAAAATAACAACTAATGTAATACACAATTATTGAATGTATGAGAAAAGGAAAACTACATTGAATCATTGAGTTTTAACCTTAATATATTTATCGTGATGCTACGGGCAAGACATCAACCGCAACAACTAAATTAATCAACCAAAAATTATAAACTTTACTCAATGTCTCTGTTGTTTAGATGCTGATAACAACCAACACCACAGATAAACTATTTTTGGTGACTTGAGTGCTAATATCAACCAACACCACATATAAATCATTCTTTGTTATTTAAATATATGTATCAACCAACAAGACAGATAAACTGTCCTTTGTGATTTAAGTGCTAATATCAACCAACACGACAAATGAGCTAGTCTTTGTGGTTTAAGGTCCAATATTAACTAGCACAATACATAAATAAACTTGCCTTTATTAATTAGGTGCCGATATCAACCACGACGACGGGATTTATTCCTCATATTTCAACGACTTCGACGGTAATGGTCGTTATGCTGTGGTAGCAGAAATGCATAACGAGGGAAATGCTAAAGTCAAAAAGGGGTCGCCGTCATCACCTGCCATTGTTATTCCCAAATTTAAAAACCCTAAAGGTAATTTCAATTGAGGTTAAATTTACGTTTTAAGGTAGTTGTATAATTGTTTAATGAATTTTATAGTTATTTAAAATCCTTTCAAGAATTTTCAACGAAGTATAGATGCAAAATATTAAAAATAAAGACTATACTGCAAAATATAATGATCCATGAAATTTACAGTCAGTCAATTTTTTTTTAAAGTCAAAAACATCATATCAAACATGTAAAATTGAACCTGCTTCCTTTCGTGGCGGGCCCGGCATGGCCAGGTGGTTAGGGCGTTCGACTCGCAATCTGAGGGTCGCGGGTTCGAATCCCCGGCCCACCAAACATGCTAGCCCTTTCAGTCGTGGGGGCTTTATAATGTGAAGGTCAATCCCACTATTCGTTAGTAAAAGAGTAGCCCAAGAGTTGGCGGTGGGTGTGATGACTAGCTGTTCCCTCTAGTCTTACACTGCTAAATTAGGGACGGCTAGCGCAGATAGCCCTCGTGTATCTTTGCGCGAAATTCAAAACAAACAAATCATTTCGTGTCTTTTTAATGGAATAAATATAGTTAGTTTTGTTCGTTAACATGGCCGTTTAGCCCACGTGCTCATAAATTGATATTAGATTAAATTACTATTCTTATTAACATTTTTATTTAAGTTATTCGTAGTTTTTATCTATCTTAGATTATTCTATCACAGGCTAAGAAAGTAATTTTTTTCACGGACAGTGTTATATATATTAGGTGTATAAGGAAAAAATGTAGAATACATGAAAAAAGTAAATGTTTTTTTTCTCCATTATAGACCGTTTCACAAAACCACCAGCAAATAACTTTACAGCTGATGATTTTATAATTTCCGATAAAAAACCGGATATACAAGTGCCCGAAGAAGATGAATTAGCCTTACCATTTCAACGAATTACAGACGCTGGATCATTCCGAGTTGAAAATTTTAATCCAATATCTGGCGATATAATTTCGCCCAATAGGATCGTGGATTTAAAAATCATTTCTGCAGGAAAGGTAGATGACATAAATGTAGTTTCTTTAATGTGGACTTCTCCAGGAGATGACCTTGATCAAGGAAATGGTATGGAACAAACTTTTATGCAAATGATAAAAGATTTGTTTAAATATTTGTTGTATGTTTTTGTATTCAAATAACTGAATCAAATAAAACACTAAACTTCCAATATAAGCCTCTCTAATAAAAGTAAAAAATTAATAAAATTAAAACAAATTAACTTACGAGTCACAACAATGAGGTCAGTATTTGCCCAATAAGATTTTGACAAAAATCTAGTTTTTTGTAAAAACTTGAAACGGGAACATACAACACAATCTTAAGCATTGTAATATACGATTACAAGTGCAGTTTAATACTTAATATTGAAAATAAAATGCACTTATGCTTAACGAGAACAGAAACTTTAAATATCACAGATATTCCATCTTGTTTTGTTGATGAAAGTGAGAAATTCAATGTCAATCTCTCTGAAAAAGAAAGAGAAAAAAATGGTCCTCCGGTAGGTCAGTGGTTAATTTACGGCATTACAATGCAAATAGCGGGGGTTAGATTCCCTACAATGAACAATGGCTTTGTTCTAAAAACAAAACACAAACTGAAAAATATGAAATTGAGCTTTTTAAAAATAATTTCGATTCACTTTGTTTAGTTGACCCTAAGATTACCTATGGGTTGCATAAACCTCATCAGTTTTTCAACACATTTTTGTAAACTATTTACTCACCAAATTTATTGCAGATCCATCACTTTATTTATTACAGAGCCCTTGATAACAACCCCCAATGGCACAGCGGTATGCCTGCAGACTTATACTGCTAGAAACCGGGTTTCGATACCCGTTGTGGGCAGAGCACAGATAGCCCTTCGTGTAGCTTTGTGCTTAATAACAAACAACAACCTTTAATAACATACGAATCACACAAAAAATATACAAAAATTACCGTCAATATTGCAATTAATTCCTTTTAATTACAGTTGGAGTCCTCAATATATTGTTTGTTTTTGAACTTCGAGCAAAGCTACACGAGGGCTATCTGCGCTAGCCGTCCCTAATTTAGCAGTGTAAAACTA